CATGGGCCAGTGAAGCAACGTCCTCCACAACTAGACTGAAGAACAAAAGGACAGCAACTTGTCTGTTCCCCTTCCCCCAATTCCCCAGCATTGTTCCCCTCCTTCAATTCCCCAATAAAATTTTAAAAAAAAAAAGAAATAGTTTAAATGACCATTCATTTATCCACAAAACAAACATGAACTGAACCCCTACTATGTGTCCTGCAGGATGCCAGGGTATATAGTAAACAGTGCCGGCCCTTTTGGACTCTGAGGTCTGATGGGAGAGAAATGAAGCAGAAGCAAGGGGCCAGGCGGGTTATAGCGAATCCACAGCCATTAATCTAATAACATTTTAAGGAGAGTGGTAAACGGATTCAATGTATATTTTTAAGAGATAATGTTGGCTACAGCATGAACAGTAAATTGGAGGGATGCAAGCGTGAAGCCAGGAAAAATGGTCGGGAAGCTGTTGGATGAGTCTAGATGATGGTGGCTTATGTCTATGCGAGTTTAATTCTGAGGAAACTTTCTAGCAAAGTAGTCCTTAACTTTTTTGTTCCTTCATAAACTATACCAAAAGCACATCTATCAATAAGAATTCATTTAAAAGGATGCACTTCTTACCTTAAGTCTAGTTCTTTTGTTCGAAGAAAATTTAAAATGGGTGCAAACGCTGCTGGATCTCTGTCAATAAATATCTGTAAAGGATGGAATGCTTTATTTTCAAATCATAAATTCAACTTCTAACTTTAGTATCTGTCACGCTAACTTAGGAAACAAAGACTGAATTATTGAAATGCCCTATTTCCTCATTCTACTCTTAAATGTTAACGCCGCTAAAATTGAACTGCAGTTACAACTGTGTGCATTTAATGTGGTAGAGTCTTCTTCCCCTGAAAAGCTATTATTGGGTTGATGATACTTTAGTATGTAGGAAAATGGTACCTAGTCAGTCAGCTCGCTCATTTCTTTATTGATATCTATGGTAAAAGTGACACCAAGGGAAAATTTTTATCTGAAATATTCTGGAATTCAATACATACTTTGAAAATATACCTAAATAAAACTTTCTTATGTTGCCTGATTATTAATTATCGGTGATGGTGATTGTGACTTACGGAATCCGTGCTTCGTATGTCATCAATCACTGAAATAATACACAGGGGTAATCAGGAAAGGTCAACGCTGCATGCTGTTGTTAAAACTGGAAAATCATATTCTCATAACACTTATACATCCCACTATCTCCATTTCCTCCGGGGCTAGGAGAAAAGGAGGTGGTGACAAAAAACACTCAATGCATTCGGGGGGGGGGGCATAAAATGCCTAAAATATGAAATACTTAGTTGATAACTTTTTACAGAAATGTGTACCGACACTATTTTAAATCAATTACGAAAGCCCTCCCCACAAAATTGAACATCTTTTAAAGCTTATGTTAAGTCAATTAGGGGAATGGAAGCAAATAAAACTCCTTTCACTATGATCAATTACGTATATACAATGAGTGAAGTTCTACTGGCTTCATAAATTCTTGCTTTTGTTTCTATTACAACCAAACAGCAGTTGAATAAACACCACAGGTTTGTGAAGATATCATTAACTGATGTCTTTTTTATAACCTCATGTAGGAATGCCTGCTTTTGCTGCTTTATTTTATCTGCAAATCTCACCACAGCAAATAACAGCAAATAACTGTTGCCTGCAAACAGAAAGCCTTTTTGCTTTTCAGCACCAGATATTCGCTTTACATATTCTACACATATAACTGCTTTTTAAATGGATAAACCCATTTTTTTATTTTCCTCATTCCCCCATTGTTGTACAAGTTCATAAGGTTATTCTCCAATACATACATACATACATACATACATACATACATACACAAATAAATGTAGGACTTTACTAATTTGCAACATTTTACACCATTCTAATCCAATAAAGTAGCATTTACATTAATCTACCTACTGTTAGTTTTAATTACTGATTAAAAGAAATATTTTCTCTTGACAATGTAAGCTCATATCCTACAATCATGAAAATTTAATATCTATATGTAGCATTCCCCGTTTTGAGTTCTCCTATATAGAGACACTCTACGCATGACAAAAAAGTAAACTTTAAGTACATACACATCATTTTCATTTAGTGATTATTAAAACATTAGCTTCCCTATCTTCTAAGAGTCACTATATAATAAGGATCAAGCATTATAAACATTAATCTAATTTATATACACACACATTATTATTATTATACTCACAGCACCAGTTTCATCTCGAAGGCTTGAAATTCTTCCACTCAGCAAACTAGAAGTTATTAACAATTAGCTAGTTAGTTTTTAAAATCTGAGTAGGAATAAATGTTCCAATTCTTTATCATGTCAAAGGCCAATGCAAATGAGTCATATCTCCAAAATAAAGTAAAAACAAAACAAAACAAAATTTATTTTAAGGGTTAAAATTTTTGTATTTGAGAAATAAAATATATTACTTTAACAGACAAGGAAAAATTTACTATTTTGATAAATAACAAATGTATTAAAAATGGTACTAAAGAATTGTATGAAATACCTGGAAAAAAAAGAATCTGGAATCCACATAAGTGTCTGTCTTGAGGTACTAAATCTGCAATTGAAAAGTATCTGGTATTATAAATGAGGACATGGTTTGAAATTCCGATATTAAGCTAACTTGCTCTAATATGCTGGCCAATGATTTATAAGTTGTTTCAAAGCTATAGCTCTATCAATTATATTGCATTTAATATTTTAACATTTTGTTTCTTTCAATTCCGAGTTAAGATTATTCAAAGAGCTCTCAACAACATCAAGTGATTAACTCATTGACATATGGCTTCCCAAAACACTACCTCCAGCATGCCAATCTGCTGAAGAATCAAGAATTCACCCATCACACCAAGCCCAAACTTTTCAAGATAATATTTGAAGTTATCTCAGGTCCTGTTTCATCTCTCCAGCACAAACTGCGCTGCCGTCTGATAAGAGAGTCCTTCTCAATATCCCCAAACAATTCAGGCTCGCTACCATTTCAGTATCTTTATTTATCCCAGCTCCATAGCTCTTGTCATGCCCCATCATCCACGTCTCATCCATCGTGATACGGCGAAGGCTTTACCTCCTTTGTAATGGCTTTTCCAAAGTCTGTCCTATGTTACTTTGAGCTCATGGTAATTCCATTGTACATTATGCATTTCACACTTTTTTTTTTNTTTTCTTTCCTTTTTTATTTTTTTTAAAGTACCTATTATGTGACGACATAAGCAATTTTCTCAGCACCTAGCTGAGAAAACAAGGATGCATAAGGCTTGAAGAACTCATAGGAAGAAACAAACCAATTAAATGCAATTGTAGCATGTACTAAACGCATAAGCCAGAAAAGATAACAGGTTTCTTTTGAATCTTATATCAGTAAGGGGTATTTATTTTCTGTTCAAAATTGTACTACATACAAGACCAGGGATAATAAGTAACACTAAAAATTCTTAACCAATCTTGAAAAAGCCAGGCATCTAGCAGGAAGAAAAATGATATACACTGCACAAGTAAAGCAAAGAAAGAAGAAACAAAACAAACAAAAAAAAAAAAGCAAACCTGGGAAGTATTGCTAAAAATGTCTCCTTCGTATACATTTAAATTTGTATGTATAAATTCCTGTTTATACACATAAATATACCATCTCAGCCCAACCAGTCAACCAAAAAAAAAAAAAAAAAGGCAAAAAATGAAATTAACCCACACAAAAAAGCTAAGCCTTTTGACCAGATCTGGTTGAGAAACAAACCTGGCACTTCAAAGCAGAAGGTCATCACCCCACACATAGTTTTAGGAATGCTTTTACGGGGTGGTGGAGTGGTAGGGGGCAAAAGCAACGTGAGAAGAGGAGGACATGCCAGTAAGGTCAGGTGACTGTTCTCACTTGCTCCAACAGCAGCAGAAAAATGGAGCCCAAACTGGGAGAGAATGGAGGGTCGTTTTTGCTGCTGCTGTTAAGGCAGATTGATAGTAGCCTGGTCGTGTGCTGATGGGAACAATCCATTAGTGGGCAGGTCTCATGATGCGGGAGGGAGGAGACGACCGGAGTGACGTCCTGAGCTGGTGAAAGGAAGGAAGACCTCGTCCACCAGGAGCTGTCCTTCGGAGCAGAGACAATTTCATCACATAACAAATGGGACATGTAGATGCGTAGATATGATGGGGAGAACCTAGGCAAGTCGCTTCTGATTGTCTCCATTTTCTCAGTAAGAATACAAGGTGTTGAAAGTTCAAGGAAGAAAAAAGGTACAACACCGTCACCTAGGAGAGTGACATGACTGAGGACAATGTGATAGGATTTCTGGGAAGCTTTTACAGGCTCACTTGAGAGCAGAGGCTGTGAGCTGAGACTAAGTATCGGCGGGGGTGGGGGGGGAGTCAGGGTGCTGGTGGTATGTGTGCGAGCACTCCATGTTCTCTGGCCCTTGTTAGCTATTCAGGTGGGAG